CATGAAACTAATGTTGCTACCTTTTTTCTGAAAATGCTCTTACATCTTTAACAATTGCTTTACAGTTAGAAGCTGAATTGTCTATATGGGTGATTTACCCAAAATTCCTGCCAGGCTCACTGCATCCTGTTTAGATAATGCAGGACCAAAATCTCAAATCGGGTCCAGACTACCTTCATGCATCCAATTCAGGCATTCCTCTCCCAATCCACATTTAAATAATTCACCTTCTGCTGTGGGCTTTCAGTTCCCTTTGCAGTGATGATGGTGGGTGCCTTTTCACTCGCAGTCCCTGTGAGCTACCTGGTGATGGTGCTGCAAATTCAAGTCACTCAGAGGTAAGAATGAGGCACCTAGTGTTGATAGCATGACTGATCATCTCATTTTGAGCTCAGGAGCAATACTGGGTGTCAAATGGGGGCAGTGAGGGAAGGTAGCCACCCATCATTCACTGCAAGAGCTGAAAACCCACAGCAATAGAGAACAGGTAAGGGATGAAAGCAAAGGGACTGGGGGCCAGAATGCAACCTGTTTTAAGTGAATCATAACTCCCTAAGGCTTTGAGAATATATATATATATATATATAGATATAGATATAGATATAGATATAGATATAGATATAGATATATATAGATAGATAGCCTGGTCAAAAAGTGATCTAGGGAGCTTGTTTGGGCCAAAAGCCAAAATCAGCTTTGGGGCACTCCATGTGCCTTAGAGCCACATTTCACCAATCGAAATTTAGGTGAAACCTGACTAAGGACTTCCTCATCTTTGGTTGAATGAGCTTCACTCGTTTTTGTCATGCTGCTCTTTATCCTTGGAACTGTCTTCCTGAATATTGCTTCAGGAAGAACAGATTGCTTCTGAATTTTGATAACTACTGTTTTAAAGTCTAAATTGAAGATGCTTTTACATTTTTAAAAAGTTTGAGTTTAGTTTTACTTCTATAATTTTGTATATTCTGATTATATGTATTGTTAGCTTGTTTTTGTAGTTGTATTACATTGGTTGTTATATCTGTCTCAGTCAGTGTGTTGAACTAAACTTCTTGGAGAGAAGGGTTTGAATTCTTGCTGAGCTGCTGAAGCACACTGGGTGACCTTGGGCAAGTCACATACTCTCAGTCTTAGAAGAAGGCAATGGCAAGCAAATAAATCTTGCCAAGAAGACTCTAGGATAGGAATGCCATAAATCATAATCAATATTAACAATCAGTTCTTCCTCCCTCTATATTTCTTTTATTATTATATTGTACAATATTGGCAGGGCTGTTTGCTTTATTTTTATTGTACATTTTGTTGTTGTTGTTGTTGTGTCATATATGTTAATAAATTTAAATAAAGGATGGCTGGTTGGCTGGCTGGCTGGATGTTTGGATACAAATGATCCCTGTCTTAATAATTCAACACTGGGAGTTCAGGCAGTTACTTATAGTTACTACATAGGTGGTCTCATCATTTCTGATGAATCACATTTGGGGGAGAAAAGGTGGGATATAAATTCAATATAAATAGGTTCAATATAATCCAATATAAATAAATAAATAAATAAGCTCTCTTGCCACATGGAGCAGAAGAGTATATTAGTTCTTAAGGTGCATGCTTGTAAACCTGCTAGTATGATTGAGCATGAGGTAGCACCCATTGATACAGGTTGCAATCCATTTTACATTTTCTCCATCTAGGGTTCCAGATTTCAGTTGTATAGGATGCTGTATCTTTAACAATGTTTGAGAAACCAAAGTTTAAAAAGTAATGTTTCAGTCAGCTGGGCATCCACCATTGCAGTAGTGGGATGAAACCCAACCCATCCAACCCCTTCTCACATTATAAACTACTGCTGATTGCATCTCTGTGGGCAGATTGACATTCTGGCCCCCAATCCCTTTGCTTTCATCCCTTATCTGTTCTCTTTTGCTGTGGGTTTTCAGCTCTTGCAGTGAATGATGGGTGGCTACCTTCCCTCACTGCCCCCATTTGACACCTAGTATTGCTCCTGAGCTCAAAGTGAGATGATCAGTCATGCTATCAACACTAGGTGCCTCATTCTTACCTCTCTGGAGGCAGCTGAAGGCTGGGTACAGCACAGGGGGAGTAGGAGGAAGAGGCTCACATCTGTTCCTCTTCTACCACCCTCACCCCTGAGCCTTCTGCTGTTTCTGTAAAACAGCGGCACACTGAAGGTTTGCCTTCTGCTGTCTCTGTAGGAAGTCCTGGCCCAGAAGATCCTGCCCCTGGAGGGTGGAAGTCCCAGCACCAGCACCGGATAACACCTAGTGCCAGAAGGCCTTTTAGTTTGGCACTCGGCCCCTAAAAATTTCACCATCACTGCCCTAAAATATCCCTGGGCACAAATTGGGTCTTCAGTCCTGTCAACAGTTGCCTGGCCCTGATCTAACTAATAAAGAAAATGAGACATGTCCTACGTATATCATCTGTTTCTACCTGTTTCTGTAAATGAGGGGAAGGCAAGTTTGGCCTGCCACATGTTGCTCAGTGGTAACTCCCAGATTTCCTTACCATTGGCTATACTGGCTAGGATTGATGGAATATGCAGTCTATCAGTTTCTGGAAGGCTGCATGTTTCCCTCCCTCGCTCTAGACCATGGGTAAGGATTGTGTTTTAGACTTCAGCATCCATCTCCCACACACACACACATCAATACTTATATTTGTAAATATGTTGGAAATTGTATTCCAACAACATGGTGGAAGCAGATATTCTGCACCTTTGTTTTAAATCCAGAAAAATTAGTCTCAAATGCAAAACAGAATCCTAGGTCTGCTGAGCTCCTATAAATTTTGGAGGAATATCCTTTGATGCAATGATTCACTTACATTTTGTTATGCTTCCTAGAGCATATCAGCCAAAATGATTACATTTCCACCAAATGGAGGCCCATTTTGCAGACAAGTCCAGAATGATGTCATGGAGGAAAATAACCTAAGATGAGCTTGCTGTTGTTGTTTTGTACCTTCAAGTCATTTCCAACTTATGGCGATCCTAAGGCAACCTATCATGGGGTTTCCTTGGCAAGATTTGTTCAGAGGAGGTTTGCCATTGCCTTTCTCTGAGACTGAGAGTATGTGACTTGCCCAAGATCATCAAGTTGGTTTCCTGGCTGGGAATCAAATCCTGGTCTCCAGATTTAGTCAATACCACTATACCATGCTAGCTTTCAAGACATTACCACATTTAAAAAAAAAGTAAAAAAAAAAGAGGCACAGAAAAAAATTGGAGGCTACTTACCTAATTCATATACTTCAAAGTCAAATAGTCAAAGAAAATTGATACAAATCTCAAAGAACTAAAGAAAAAGAGGAGGAAAAGGGGGAAACCCTCCAAACATGCCTCTTGTACTCAAGGTTAGGTGGAGTATTCTGTCACCTTTACAAAGCAGCTGCAAAAATTAATATATGCCAACCCAAAGCATTTCAGAATTCAATGGAGTACACTATAAAAAGGGAGAAGCAACGTTCATAATGAAACAGAGTTTGATAAATGAGGATTAGGCTGTGTTAATTCTCTAATTTGTATGTGTGTGTTTTACTACTCTCAGAGGTGTTCAAGGGTTAAGCCATCCCACCATGCCTCACTCACAATTTATAAAAGAGAAAATCTTCCATAAATCAAAAGTTACAAACAGACTTTGTAATGTCATAACTCTTGTGACGGCTTCCTCTTTGATTGATTCCTATACATACATTCTGTCTGATTACCATAATGTGTTCTTGGGGGACAATTCAAGCAGAGTAGGCGAGAGGAGCAAGCAGAGAAGTAAATAACAAATGGTCCTGACTCCTCCTCATCGAGAGTGATTTCAGTCCGATGTTCCATCATATCAAGTAGGAAAGAGAGTCTTAGGGTTTAGGCAATCAATTACAGATATGTGTAGAGGCAGACACAATCATTCCACTGATTGTCACCAGTCTAGAGCAGTGACACAGGGAAGTGATCCATCAGTCTATTTTCACTGACAACTACAGAGAAAGATGGCATACACTTGTAAACTAACAGGCACATGGATTGGCTGCCTTTGAAGACTGAAAAATTGCTGTGTTCCAAACATATCTAAACCTTTAAATGCCTCCACACTGAGGTTTGATACATTTTGCAGGAAGGGGGAGTCCAGCTGTTGTAGGAAGTCTTTAGTATTACCAGAAAGGGGAAGTGGCTTCCCACCATGTTAAAAGAGATCTAGTAAAGTCAAAATAATTTGGTTTGGATGTCTTAAAGCTTTTCTACTAAGAGAGCCTATTTCTTTACCCCTCAATGATCACCTTTTAATTAACCAGCAGTGTGTTTTTCTGATAAGAAACATTACCAAAGAGAAAATTATCTCATTAATGATAGAGAAGCTGGATTTACACAAAGTTGTATTTTAATAGTCTTATTTTTATTTTACTCATGTGTTTCTCATTCTACTCTTCTACCCAGGAAAATTCAGTGGCTCCTGATAGGACAGCAAGATGGCATGAGTCAAAATATATTGTTACTGTTATTAACATAATTTCAAGCTGAATTTACAGGTTAAAATGTAACCCATAGTGTATAGAATAAAAGCATTATGACATATTAACTACAGCAAAGGAAGATAGTATTCATCAAGGCTTCCTGGTGCTGTAGAGGAAGCTAAGGAAAAAAGAAGGCTCCCCCTCTTAAAGGGGGACTAATAGTTTTATTACTAACAAATTGTGAGCAAGTGTAATTCTTAGGGAGCAAGGGTCCAGAAAGATATTGTAAACTTTTATATCCAAATGAGTATTTGGGAATGTAGGAGCCAAGCTTAGGACATATATCTAGCAGATCATTGCCACTCAGCTTAAGAAAAATCAGTCATTGTTGTTGTTGTGTGCCTTCAAGCTGTTTCTGACTTTTTGCACCCTAGGGCAGACTTATCCTGGGGTTCTCTTGGCAAGATTTGTTCAGAAGAGGTTTGCCATTGCCTTCCCCTGAGGCTGAGAGTATGTGAGAGAAGGTCACCCTGTGGGTTTCATGGCTGAGCTGGGATTCGAACTCTGGTCTCCAGAGTTGTAGTCCAACACTCAAACCACTACGTCATGCTGGCTTTCTCGCTCAAACTTTTTTTACCTTTTAGTAGGCAACCAGAACTCTGGCCTTGTCTTCATGGGTGATTTACCTCTAATTCCCCCCACCAGGCACTCTGTGCCTTGTTTACATGACACAGGGTCAAAACTCCAAAATGGGTCCAGACTGTCTTCATGATGCCCACAGCCAATTCAAGATTTTCTCCCCTAAGTTGGATTTAAATTACTTACTTTTGCTGTGGGTCTTTGTCTCTCTTCACAGCGATGGTGGTGGCTGCCTTTGCACTCATGGCCCATGCAAGCAGTCCAGTGCCACCACTGGTAAGGGGGGAATTCAAGGAAAATTCAGGCCCAGAATACACTAGGGGAAGCCTAGAGTATTCTGGCAAGGTAGACCCACCCTATATTGTTTTCAATTCACCTTTGGGCTTTAAAGGTAGTTCTAAAGCAGCTTGTTTCAAGTTTTTTCTTTATTATTATTATTATTATTATTATTATGATTTACAGAATTCTTTCTTTAAAATTGCAAAGTGCCTCATGGCACTTAAAAGATGAACAAAATTTACTTTGGAATATGTTTTTGTGGACAGAAGTCCTCTCCATCAGGTGCAAGACAATGACAGCCTACAAATGGCCCCCAAAAGGTGTGGGCCAAATTTTGTAGCCATGCTTTTTGTAGGCAATATCAATGAATGCCTTCCAGCTTTTATCCAGTTTGGAAGTTGCATTCTCCAACGTGTGATGATGGGTTGTTGGTTTTTTTAAAAAAATGAAAAAATCCTGATACCTATAGCTTTAATAAAATATAATATAGTTATATTCTTTGGAAGAGAAAGCTCTCTGCATCAGTAATAAGGTGCTGTTTGGGGGAAAGGGTTTAACATTATCATAAGATTCTGTCACTATGTAAAGAAGACTGGAGTCTGAAAAAAGAGAAAAGATTAGGGAGTGAATTAGTGGTAGTAGGGTATTTGAACATTTCCCCATATGAGTTCATGCCAGAACCCCCCATGGATACCAAAATCTGTGGTTGCTGTTCCAATTGTATACAATGGTGTAGTATGATGGACTTCTTTATATAAAATAGCAAAATCAAGGTTTGCTTTTTAGAATTTATATCTTTTGGGAATATTTTCAAGACCTGGATGGTTGAACCCATGGATAAAGAATCCATGGATATGGAGGGCCAACTGTAGTATGAGCTACATAAGGAAGTCATCAAAAGAATTAGACATTAGACATTCATTCAACATAGTATCGTGGCTTAAACATTGATCTATGGATCCTGGAGATCAAGGTTCAGTTCCCCACTCAGTCATGGAAACCTACTGGGTGACCTTGGGCAAGTCAAAAACTTTCAGCCCCACAAAACCCCGGGATAGGGTGACCATAAGTCAGAAACAACTTGAAGGTACACAACCACAGGAATGTGAAGACTTATTCCATAATATTAGCAAGAAGTTCTAAAGTGAAAGTAATTGTTCATAAAGACATTTGCTAGACTGTTGTTTCATTTGTAACTGTATTTGCAACTTCAGATGGGTTGTTAATTATGTATGAATCCGAGAATTCTTTTCTCTTCCATTTGTATGGTGGTGAATATTTTCCAAGCCTAGTTGTTATAATACAGGGTGCAAATATTAATTTTCTTCTGAAGCAGTCTAGCATAAATCCTAATGCTAAGCCCCAGTCATAACTTTTAAAGTTATATGGAAACATAACTAAAACCTCTGTGTGTATGTGTGTGTACAGAAATGTTATATTCTAAAGATATTGAAAAATCTTAACATACATTTTCTTTACTATATATTACAAACCCATATGTGCCATAATTCAATTTAGATAATAATAATGAAATTATCCAAACCAGAGAGAGCATGTTTTATAGATTTCTGTCTAAATGTAATACAAAAATGCGGCAGTCCTTGTTTGGAAGAGTTTATTAAGGGTTAGCAAAGAAAAAGCTTTTTGAAATAGTCTATAACTCTCTAATGGCCTTTTTCAAATAAAATGGGAAAGAATTTGGAAAGAAACCTATATCAGTGAGCTGCAATTGTAACATTACAGTACAGGTCTATAAATCTTGACATGTTCACAAGATTGCCTAAACCAGCAATACAATCTGTCCAAACCTCATTGTCTCCATGACCAGCCAGTCTCATTTTAAGAAATGTATGTGGTCTTCAACCTAATTTTATCACCTTCATTTGTAAACTAGTCAATCAATCAAAGCATCCAGTGAGTCTAAGTTGAAAAAAAAGGAGTGCATTTTCATGCATTTCCAGACAGCACAGTCAAAAATTAATCTCCACTTGATCAGACATTCCTTGCCCTCATCTCAATAGACTATCATTAGGGTCAGCCATGTATATTAAAAATAGAGTAGTGAGAAAGTGCTTTGCCAGCCGTGTGTTTTCCAAGCTACTTGTGGCTGACTTGCAGAGCTCATTCCTCCTCCTCCCTGTGTATACACTTACTGGGGGGAAAGCAAATTGCTAAATAAATACAAATCAAGAAAGTGAGAAAAGAATTAAAGGCAGTTTAGAGAAAATACAGTAACCTCCTCCTGGCCAGGAACACCCCCTGACACCATCATAGTTCTATGCCCTTTCCATAACCATCTGTAGAAGTACAGATGCTAAGAACTGTGTCAGGCAGGCATGGCGTTAGACTTCTCCCTTCATAAGGACCTAGGCTGGGTCTATTGTTGGACAGATTGAGCCAGCTGCCTCAGGCAGCAGATTAGGGGTAGCATGAAAGTGTAGCAAAGCATTAGTGATTTACTCTGTGGTTATTTGGATATAGATAGGGAGAAGTGCTTGTGAGGTTTTTTTTTCTTCCCCAAGTGCCAAAAGTACCAAAAGTTGGCTACCTTTGGGTACTATGAAACTAGACTTTGCACTGAAAGAAGGTCACCATTGTCTACTGTGCCTCAGGCCGCAAAATGGCTTGGCTTGTTTCTCCTATGCATCATATCATTGGTAAGGAAGTGTCATCCAAGCCAGCCCCTTTTGTTTTGCGAAAGATTTTCAATTGCGAAGAACTATAGGTAGAACTCAAATTACATGCTCTTTTAGCCCATCAGTCTAAAGACCTAGGTATCCAGCAGTTTTCTGTCCACTATGAGCTAATTTGTTCATGGAATAATAAGTAAAGGAGAGGGGCAAAGCGAGAACGCACACGCCTATTTAGTGCTGACTGAAAAAAATGTTTGTGCTTAATGTATTGGAGAAATTATTCAAGGACATTTTCATTTTTACATTGAGATTACTCCAGTAACTGCATCAAGGTCAGAGAAACCTTGAGTTGTAAAAGAGCACATAGCTAAGTACAGCCTGACTCTCTAATGAGGTCTCGGAGATAGGTGTATATAGTATTACACCTGTGCGGGTAAGGAGTCTCTTCTGGTTATCTTGCAGAGTGCTTTTCCTCTCTCCTTTTTCTGCAAATGGGAGCAAAGGGACCATCCAGTCTTTGGTTTGCTCTGTTAAGCAAGTGCCCAGCCCTGCTCTACTTGAAGGGCTGGCAGAGGACATTCTTCTTTTTATTTCAGGGGTGGATAACATGTTTCAGCCAGGGGGCTAAATTGACAGATCCCAGTAAGGAGGTACATCAAAGCATCCATTTGGATGGCCCGATCCACTGGTGGCTGGTGACTTCCATGCCAGTGGGGCAGTAAATCCAGTCCAGGTTTTGGCTAGCTTTAAAAGGGATCTCCAAGGTGCTGAATTTATATTGGAGATAGGGTTCAGCACTTTGGAGACCTCTTGTAAAGGTTGGATTAATCTGGACTGGATTCTCTGACCCACTGACACCGGAGCTAACAGCTACCACTCATTCTATATTTGCTTTTTACTTTCTTTTCTGCTGCTTTCCTTCTCCTTATCTCCATCCCTCATACATACACACACCCTTCCCATTCCTTTCTGTTGTGCCCTCTCTCATTTTATTATGAAAGTCTTGAACCCTTAAATTTCCAGCAACTATTAACCCAGGGGTAGGCAACCTTTCCCCTTTAAGGGCCAAGGGACTTCAGCTCCCAGAATCCCAGGAGCTATTGGCCAACATGGGACTATTGGCCAACATGGCTGAGGCTTCTGGGAGCTGAAGTCCCTCGGCCCTTAAAGAGGAAAGGTTGCCTACCCCTGTATTAACCCCTCTACCCAGCATTTTCCCCAGATGTTATCCTTTTGTCCATTTTGATTCAATGTGAACTCAGCACATAGGCAGAACAGAGGGTGAAAAAATGAATGTGAAGAGTGAAGATGAACAAAGAACAAACATAGATTAAAAACTGAACAGAAACCACAGGTAAATTTTAGGCAGGAAATGCAAGGTCAATAGGAAGCGTTTGCTGTCTTTGGTTTGTTAGTGGTAGCAATCTTAGCATGTGTATATCCACTAGTTCACACCTGCACAACTTGGAAGTAGGCAGGGGCCAAAATTAAGATAGGCTAAAATTGGCTGCAAATAGGTTTTTTTAGTGGCTCACTTCCCAAGTAATGGTATAATTAATTAATTAGTTATAAAGTAAAGGTATAAATAGTATAATATATAAAGGTGTATTTTTTATGAGAACCAGTGTCATGTAGTGGTTTGAGTGGTGAACCATGACTCTGGAGACCAGGGCTTGATTTCCAGCTCTGCTATGAAACCCATTGGGTGGCCTTGGGCACATCACACTCTCACACCCTCAGGGGAAGGCAATGGCAAACCTCCTCTGAACAAATTGTGCCAAGAAAATCCCATATTAGAGCCAGGTCACTGGGTGACCTTGGTCAACTCACACTCTCATTCAAGAAAAATGGAGGACACAACCAACTAAAAGCCAAAACCAGGCAGGTGGGGTGTCCCCACATATTCCCCCCACAACTTCCCAAGTCACACACACACACACACAATACACATCTCCCCCACACATGCTGTACACATCTCCCACACACACACCTCTTGCATGGTGAGGATAGCCACCTTTCCCCTGGGCCCTAGCCAGGCCTGCCTGCTTGTCTGCCTGCTTTTG